CTGTGTCTCTCTAATAAATAAATAAAATCTTAAAAAAAAAATCTTACAAGGATTTCCCACAGTTCCTAGGTTTCTACATAGCAGCAGTAAAAGTAAATTCAATATTGGGTTTACATTTTATTCAGAGGATAAATACAAAATTAGGAAAGCAAGAGATAAAAGTCAAAGCAAATATGCTCAATATTTCAAAACAACTCTACATACAAAGCAAATAGAGGGAAAAAAGCCCCCATGAATCGAATTGGCTACCTGTATTCAAGTCTACCAGAATCTTGAATTTACTATTTCCCTTGCCTGGGAACTACCACCATTCATTGTCTCAGAAATTCTCCATCCCATTAGGGGCACTGTTTGAAGACCAAGCTTTCTAACAGTCCATCTCACACTGAACTTGCCACAGAACATCCATGACTGAGAATGCCACACTGGTATCAGTGAGGACAATGTGAGGACAAGAGTGTCACCTGAAAGGAGCTATTGGCAGAAACAAACTGTAGTGACCCTGGTACATGTGAACCTTTGCAGCCTGGATGTTGTAAGGCAACCTAAGATTAATGGACAGCCACTTTTGCATCCCACAAATTAAGAATGTATTAGCTAAGAACCACGGGGTCATTTCCCCTGTAGGTATAATTAATCTAGAATTCCCCATAAGTATCCCAGCAATTCTCCTTCTAAGACCTCACTGTATTCACCTCCATTTCAGAACACATAAAGCTGAGTGACAGAGGCAAAAATGAGCTCCTAAAGACTCCCTAGGGGATGCAACAGCTGTGAGTTCCAGGATACACCTTATTACGCTCTGGTTTTTAAATTGTTGGATGCTTCTAAATCACTCAGTATACTGCAGAAATTAAAAGCATATGAAAACATGCCAAAAGCTTTCATCCTAATAGGTATAAACAGTCTTTTTAATCTTATACAAACAGAGGTAGACTGATAAGTGATTGGAAGGAAAGAACCTCTCTCCAAAAAGCATTTCTCTAATTGTTTACAAGCTCCATTTTTTATTCCATATTTTCAACTGTACATCCATACGTTTTCAAAAATCTCTTGAAATATGAAAAGGAAAATATGGCTACATAACAGCATTAGGAGAAATACATATCAGAAAACACATACGTGAACTTTGGAATTTGAGCCAATAAATCATGTTAGTATCAAGTTCAAAACATGGCCTTTCAATCTTGGAAATAATCTCTTGTACACATGCTAACCAAAAAGAGAATAATGAATTTATCTTATTACACACATACTTCCAGGGAAGGGTAAGATGGTTAAACAACCTATAACCTGGCAACCTGTCTGTATATTATTACAAGATTAGTTTATAGCCCCAGGATGTTTAAGGTAATAAAGTTCCTACATCATTTTTTTCCTACATCATTTTGTAAAAGGAAGGAGAACTATTTACCTTCAGATTAATGAGAAACTTAACTCTTACTTCTTTTCCTCATCCAAAAAAGTTAAAAATTTCTTTTTCTTAAATGCCACTCCAATGAAAAACAGGTCTCTAAATTTTCAGGGAAATTATTTCTTGGCCTTTAGTAAGTACTCAGTAAATACTCCTAGCCAACTGAGGAGAATTCAAAGATAACTGTTTAATAAAAGTAAAGCTGGATTTTATGCCAAAATGTGGCCCATGGAAAAAATGACCCACGCTGTCTGGCAGCCCCAGGCTTTGCTGCAGAGCAACCCCGAGACAGAGATGAGACTGGGCTCGGTTCTACAGGAAGGCAAAACAGCCCAGCTATTCATTCAAACTACCCTGGCATAACTCTGTCTCCTGCAGAACACAGCGAGTGCTGTAAGCACTACGGATAGAGATTTTCACTTGCTGTTTATAAAAGGATCCTGTAAAAGGAATCTTTGTTCTATAATTAACAGATTGCCAGATACTACAGAAACTTTAGAGTACATGCAGTCTTGCTATTCAGCCATCTTAAATATCGTTCTTTTGCAACTATCAATTCACTTACGCAAAGCTGTTGATCACTGTATACACTAGAAATTCGCTAGAAACAACACATTCTTGCAAAAAAATTTTACAAGACTTGAGAAGGTATAATATCTATGGAGTATGACATCAAAAAGTAGAGCCTTTGTTTTATCTAATGATCCTTTCTAAAACAACTGGCAAGTTGGGGTGGAGACGTGAAACTTTTGATTATATTTATCCAATCATCTCTACTTTTAAAAAGCAATAGTAATGAATTCTAGCATCAGAAAAGTTTACTAACAACTAAACACTGGCTACATTCTTAGTGCAATACAATCTTTAACACACCTACAAACATGTATACACTTCAAATATTGGCAAATTGCTTCAAAATGCAATTCTCAGTAAGTTTTGGTAATTTATTCACAGTTATAGGTTAGAGTTACTGGACTTACAAGACATGAGGAAGAAATGACCAAATGGCTCAGTAAACTACACATTTATCGTAAAGAACAGAAAACTGAAACAAAGATTCTAAAATCTCCAGCTCACAAGCAGTATAATTTAAACAAATACCAAAAATTTTATTTAAGCAAAAAAAAAAAAAAGAAAAAGAAAAAGACAAAAAAAAAAAAAAAAAAGTCAACCACAGAACATTTAAAAAGCTAACAGGATCATTTCTGTATTCATTCTGAGTACCATAAGAAAGGTAATTCAAGAATTTCCTAAAAGACTCTCATTAGCCATCATTTATGGTAGATTCCATAACATTGACATCAAGCTATTACAGACTTACAAGTTAATACAGCGTAACTTTACGATCTTGCTAGTCAACTACGATTTTCATTTTAAGCCTGGAAATTATTGATTCAAAGCAAATGTTATCAGTCCTATTGGTTGTCATGTCATAGATGTGAAGATATGGTTAAACTCACCAAGCTAGGGAAATACTGATATATTAATAATCCTTAAATATTGTGAGAAAAAACTGATGCGTTAATTCTTCTAAACTTGAGATTCTAACATGAAGAACAAAGAAGGTAATCTGTAGTATGTTTTCATGAAGAAGACACTCTTATCTGGCAGTCTGGTAAACAAAACCCACTAAATATGTGGACGTAAGGCTAAAATACCTTCCTTTACCATTCCCTTTCATTTCTTTGGCCTTCACAAATTCCATGTGAGCTATGATTTGTTTTTCGACAAATACTTTTCAGTGACATTGTGCTTTTTAGAAAAATCAGTTGTCACATACAATAGTTAACACTAGTCTTTCCCTTTTATTGCTACAGTATATCCTAAGTTTTTAAACAGATAAAACACTTGACTCCAAAGGACTTCTTAAAATATGTTTCTGCTGGTCTTCCTTCTTTGAAGACAATATAAATAAGTGCCAAATGAACATTACCAAGGAGCTAAAAAAAACAAAAACAAAAACAGGGCTCCTTTTCCTCCTGTCCTCATGATCAGCTTAAGTCAACAGACCTGTATTCAGAAGGGTAAGACGATATCATCTTAGAAACAACTTTCCACAAAACTAAGAGAGAAAATCTGTGTTAGCTCTCTTAACCCCCAGCCCCAGCTGCACACCACCCTGTGTCCACTCCCCTTGAGTAGTATTCGATGCTTGCTTCTTTCTCCCTTGTGCATTTTGCCTTTACCTTCCTTAGCGTACCACAGACAGATGGTCTACCCAGTGTGCGGTAAGAGTGCACTCTACAAAATGCATCTTCCACCTCTTGTGAACATTATATGCCCCTAAACTTGGACCAGTATTTAACAACCCAGCTCACCTCCACTTTTCCACTCCCTCACCCTGTGCCTCGCAATGATCTTCGTCTTCACCACTGATAAGTCTGCCTGGGGACAAGCAGACTTTGCTTTCAACAAGATGTCCTTTCCAGTTCCTGGCACAGTGACTTGCCCATAATAGGATGCTGACACAATTACAGCACACTAAAAACAGTGAACATTAATTTTCCTCTTCCCATTCATTCCCGACACAGGGAATTAAAAAAAGACAGAAAAGCCAACTGACTGCAAAGTAACCATCATTTACTGGGCCATGTACGAGATGCTACCCAAGACCCCAGCCTAAAGAGGGCTCATGGCTGAGGTAAGGAAGTCTAAGTTACATATGGGTGAATTTAAACTTTAAATGTACTACAAGAAAGAACTTTTTATATAAAGGACTCCTTTTGTAGCATATCTTTCTTGAAAAATCAGATTTTCTTATCTGTTAATATTACATTCATTTTAACTGGGCATGCACAGTTATTAGTGATTTGCCTCATTAGAGTATCTTTTTTTGTGTTCATAATTAATACATAAAAGCATTTAAAAATCACTCCATTAGGGCGCCTGGGTGGCTCAGTCGTTAAGCGTCT